TTATAATTTAATATTTAATAAATTTATTTAGCACCTGATTTTTGAAATATTTTAAAAAGTTTGTTATTTATGAAATGTGAACTTTAAAAATAGGAACTATGTATTGTTCCTTTTTTTTTTTTTTCCCCAGAATCCAAAAAGAAGTGTTAAAAATCTTTGCAGACTTGGAACTGCTGGTTGGGTCTTGGTGTCATTTGTACATACTAGTCAGAGTAAACGTGCGTTGCACGTTATTTATAAGTATAGTGAATGTAATATATGACCATTCATTTACCATTTTGATCTAAATATAAGAGAAATGTAAGTCCCTGAAAATATATGTTAATTATTATACATGCACGTAAATATTAAGATGCATACTTTAATGTAAGTATTAAAATTATAATTAAATGTATAAATGAAGATGAATGACAAATACGATACATAAATTAATGTGAATATTAATTAATTTAGCATTAATATCAATGAATATATACCTCACAATAAATGTTTAATAATTTATATTAAATGAATATAATTTAATTTCAAATTAAGTGAAAATGATGTTAATTAGCACACATGAACGTGAATAATAAGCTGCATTATCGAATTTGAAATTTTAGTTAATATTAATTAAATGAATGTTAATATTAATATTAATTAATTGAGAATTAATAACAGGGCATGTGAAATTCTAATTATTATAAATTAATGAATGTGGATGCTAATTAATTGAGAATTAATTATAATATTTATTATAGTTTGTAAATTTATAATCGTCCACAAAATAATTCTCACTTAATGTCATATTTAATATATTATAGATTGGGTCTGTACTTAATCAGAGAAACCTGCCTGATTGCATACTCATGTTCATATAAAGCACAAAGTACTTCTCCGGCTGGAGAGATGAAACTGTACAAACATAGAACACAACAAGAGCCTTTAAAGTGTAAAAATTCAACCATGAAAGCTAACATCATATAATCTGGAATGCAACATTGAGAACAAAATGATGTTTAATTATTTGAACTTTCTACAGCAAATAATTCAATCTAATAATTCAAATAATTGAAGGAGAATATACGAAACCTGTGGTTGAAATTAACAAATACCAACAGCCATAGAAAGGAAGAAAAAATGAGTTCGAAAGATCAAATCTTTAATCTTTAGCAATTCAGACATTAGTTGAGAGATGCTAATCTCAAATTCACATGTCCTCTTTCCTCGGGGAGTTGTGCGGTGGCGATAAATCATCCCACCAATCAGCATAAATTCGATTAATCTGCCTGTTTAGTTTCCATTTCGATATCTCCTTACTTTCTGCATCTTTGTTAGCAGGAGCACCAATCACTGCAGTTGCAGGGGATGAATTAATTACAGGCACAGGGAGAGGCTTTGCTGGAATTTGGGAGCCAGAATTCATTATCAGCTCCGTCTCAACACGAGCGCCAGGTAACTGCAAATCTGCAGAAAAATCGTGCATATATTGAAAGTTTTACGTGAAATGCAGATGTTTCAGAAGTTCTTATGAAAAGAATAAAAACAAAAAATCAATTTTTTATGAATCTTAAAGATATGATTCAAATATGGCACTATGACTACATACAAGTGTCATTCGACATGAAATATTGTTATTCACATGTTACCAAGTGGCCAGTGAGATTTTGGTTGTGCTATCTGGACCGACAAAATTTGTAGTAATGAGAACCATCTTTTTCTTGTCGATGCAATAAAAACGATGTTTTTCAACATGGTAATCAACATGATATGGTTGTGGCAAATACTTATTGTATTGAATATACATCACATAAATGATAAATTGAGCTTATGGGAGGCTAAATATACCAGATGGGCCATGAGCAAAATGACATCTTTCTCCAAAGGGGCATTGGCCGATCTCCCATTTGCTACATAGTTTTGTTTTCCAAAAAGCAGTATTTGCTTGGGAAGTACTGGAACTGACGTTGATGTTCTTAACATAATCAGTCTGATCATAATCACTTCTTCTTACCAATGCAGGCCCTGTAGTTCCAATACTTATGGCAACACTTTCCCTATGTTCCCTTGACATGTCAGTCTGGAATTTCATGGGCTGTTCATGAAGGAAGTTGCATTTTTCCCCATATGGGCACTCTTCACCATTGTAAAACTTCTTGCAAATTTTCATCCTATGTATCATTCTTTGATCATCATTGAAATTTCCGACCCCTCTCTCCTTTTCTCGAACAAGTTCTTGCCAATTTGGAGGAGGTTCCCGTAAATCTTCAATGCCATNATCATTGAAATTTCCGACCCCTCTCTCCTTTTCTCGAACTAGTTCTAGCCAATTCTGAGGGGGTGCCCGTAAAGCTTCATTGCCATGAGCAAATGTGCAATGCTCTCCATTCCTGCAGGTGCCTTCCATGAATTTTGCACAGATACGGGTCTTGTAAAATATATGGCTCGTCCCTTTAGCACCTGAGGATTTAGCGAATTCATCCCCGGATTTCATTGGTGCAAAAGGTGCAGAATTTGGGGGGTTGTTTTCAAAGTTCCTTGGTCTCATAAAAGGTGGAGGATGCTCAAATTGAAAAGTAGCGTCATGTTCATTGTTCATAGGAGGTTGAGGCCAAAACCCGTCAACATCTCCACCGGCAAAAGGTGGTGGAAGAAAGGGTGGAAGTGGCGGCTGTTGTGCAGGATCAGGGATACTCATCCTGTTTTGGTACTAGAAGAATTTCTTGATTCTATTTCCTCCTACAAATATACTAAGATTAAACTTTTGGATAGAAAAAAAACTGATATCAACCCTTAAAAACCAATCTAAAAAAACAAAAATTAAAAATCAGATTTACAGGGATAGAAATTGGAAATTGGCCTGAATGCAATTGATCAAAAATTGTTCAGAATAATCAACAGTGCCCACTTAAAAATATAGTCCAAAATAACTCACAGAAATAAGGCAACGAAAAATCAAGAATTGAAAAATCTGTATGTAGAACTTTTATATACATTTACCAAAAAATAATTAAACAATGCAGAATTAGCAAACCTGAATTTAATCCAAATTAAAGCAATTTCCAAGCATGTTAGAGAATTGAAACAGGGTAGATTACTCCGAACATCACATCTTCTGAGAGAAATTAAAAAATGCAGATTGAAATTGACATTGAATAACTGATTAAAGCTATGAATTTTTGTTCCTAAAAAACCGAATAATGAGTCAAATATATAGGTTAAAGCTGAAATTACAGGGCCAGCCGCCAAAGGCAAACCCTAGATTAAGAAGCAGATTTCAAATGGAAATCAAAGTCTGGCCCAAGAGAAAAATTTGCTAAACCCAAACAGTACCTTAAACCTCTTAATTACTTTTATTAAAAGTAATGAAAAATAAAATCAAAATTGACGGAAATGGTATGATGCGAGGTATTTATTTTTATCCCTGTTCTGTACGCTAATAACTTTTAGGATTCTTAACAGAGACAAATATCACTTTCGATGCTTCCTCTTGTTCGCGTTTGAAAAGCAAAAGCATCTTCTCTCTTCTATTTGGCCCACCTTAGGATCTCATACCCCCACCTTGCAATAATGGGACAGGGACTCACCTACCATTATATGAAGAGAGATATTTATACAAGACAAGGTAGGGATTTAGGGTCGAATAGATCGACAATTTAGTAGCTTACGGGGACATGTTTGGGTGTGCTTATAAGCATTTATGAATATTGAATTTTTTTTATGGCTAAAAATATAAAAATTGTGAGTCCCACTCAATAACTATGGTTCCTGATATGTTTTCCAAATAGGCCCATGGATTAGCCCACAAATTTTTGTGGGTTGAAATACAGCCCCCTCCTCCCCAAAATAAGTAAGGTTTAATTCTTTCTTATTTTGTGTGGGACCCACTTTTAACAAGGTATTTATGTGGTCTCAATGACTTATTTATTTAACGAGTATGGAAAATAAGTTCCTAACCTAAAAGCACTTTGGCCTGCAAAGTGTGGCTAAAAATATAAGTCAATTAAGTTTTTGTTTGTTTACCATTTTTCAAAACATTGTTTTCTACAGTAATCAATCTCCACCGCACATTCAAATAATAAAATATTCTACACATAAATTGATAAAATTTCTTTCAATTTTAACCACACATTCTCCAAAAAATATTATTCAAAACAACATTATTTCTCTCATAATGGAAGACAAACAGACTCTAAGTATCATCATAATTAATGTCAACAATTGGCTCATCCTACAACTGAGCAACACAAAGAAATTAGTAAGAATTAATGAAAATAATCAAAGAATTAAAATTAATGTTTTCCCATTTTCATTTAGTCTTAGAAAATCAATTCAACACCACAAAAGCAACACCAAAATGGAGAACTTGGAACCAGAATATCATAATCATCAAACTTCCACGTGAAGAAAAGAGATAGAATTCACAATTCAAATTATTTCCACAATTGAGTATTAAGCACCTGGCACAATTGGATGATTTCCTCTAAATATCCAACATGATTGAGCTACATCATTTGTGGTGTGGATTTAAATAATATTCTTCAATTCTGGGCTTATAGCCTATGAAGATAAACGGATCACGATTTTTCATCATTACCTAGGAATTATTTGGACATCATTATTACTTATTTGTTTATGAGGTGTGGAGTCTACTTGTTCACATCTCTTGTCGTGGAATCGAAATGATAAGGCCCATTTGTTTCAAAAGGTTTAAGAATGCCATAAAAGAAGCAAAGAATCTCTGCAAAATCGTGCATAAGCATTTATCTTCCTTCGTCATCATCTCCATAAACGATTGAAAATTGAACATCTCTCTATGTGATGGATCCATAAGCCCTTCCGAAAATTTTAAAAGAGAAGTTTGACCATCAAATAAATTGTGGTTCTCCCTAAATTTCATTACAAGTATATGTATCTGCGATTTTAGGACTTTAAAACTATTGTTGAGTATAACTAAGTTATTTAACTTTGTGGAGAAAAAAAAAATCAATTATCTTATTTGCTAGTTGGACAAAATAAGGACTTTAAGACTATTGGTGAGTATAACTCTTGAGTTGTTTTAACTCTTTAAGGTTCATTTATCTCAAAAGGCTTAAAAAATATTCATAACTCATCTTATTTGCTAGTTGAACAAAATAAGGAGTTGCTAGTAAAAAATTGTAAGTCTCGCCCAACTAGCCCTGCACTATTTCCTGAAGCGAAGGCAACCTCAATTTGTGGACATGAATGCGAAAATGAACGTGGAGACATGTTGGAACTCATAGATAACCGGCTAGCTCATCAGCTGACTCATCAGCTGATTCAACATCAGACCTCCACCTCAGTAGTTAGTTGTACCTGAATTCTGTTGGATTATAATCTCCCTCAGTGATGCAGGACCACCTGCCTTGTTGTGCAGTCCTTAATTTATGGTGCACCATTGATTATCTTTTTCAACTGTACAGCCAAGATTAGAAGCCTAGAACATTCTTCTCACTTGTATAAATCTGAGCTTAAATTCTCACTTGTAATATGAATTAATCAGTATTCAAAATTATCAATTCCATCTTCAATANTGAGAATAAAAAACAAACAGGGCCTAAGACTATTGGTGAGTATAACTCTTGAGTTGTTTTAACTCTTTAAGGTTCATTTATCTCAAAAGGCTTAAAAAATATTCATAACTCATCTTATTTGCTAGTTGAACAAAATAAAGAGTTGCTAGTAAAAAATTGTAAGTCTCGCCCAACTAGCCCTGCACTATTTCCTGAAGCGAAGGCAACCTCAATTTGTGGACATGAATGCGAAAATGAACGTGGAGACATATGAAGTCATCGAAGAAGCAATAGACAAAATTATCAGTAACGAAACAATAATTTCAAGAAACACAAAGTAAACCACCAACAGTGGAATATAACCAGTGCAAATGGATACAACTAATCAAAAAATGAGTACGAAGATGTGTGTTATATATGTAGAATGAAAAAACATTGTTGACAGAACAATAGTACGACAAAACACAAGGATCCAATCAATGTAGTTCATTTGGATGTCTCTCGCCTCTTTGTTGCCCCCAGATTAGTGGTGGCAAGGGGGCTGAGCAGCTCGCCGTCTCGGCTCGTGAATTTATTTCATTTCTTTACATTTTTATTTATATTTTCTTTTCGTTATGGTTTCAGGAAGTGGGTTATTGTTCGATGTTAGAGTTAATATTTTTTTCATCTTCATGTGCTATGTTTTATCTCTTTTATTTACAATTTTTACGTAATTTATCATTTTGTTTTGTTTTTGTTTTTTTCAATTGCATCATATATTTTTATATTAGTGTGGAATGTATTTTATTTTCTGTTTATTTTTAGGGCCAATTGAAGATTTTTATTAAATCAGATTTCATTTTTGTTTTCTTATTTTATACTATCTATTATATGACTTATCTGAGGTACTAAATGAAAATTAAAAATACTTTAATTCTGTCAATTAAACTATAATTTGATTGGTGAAATTTATAGTGTTCTTTGTAATTAGCTGCAGTATTTTTTTTACTATTATTTTTTTAATATTGTAGTTTCTTAAGAGTTTTAATTGAATTGCAATTGTTACTTGCTGGAATATTAAATGTATTGAAAGTCTGTATTTGGGATATGTATGCTGCCATGGGGTGGGTTTAGGGTCTTCATTAAATTAGAAAAAAAAATGTATAAATTGGTCGGTTTAAAAATAAATAAATAAATCAGTTGGACCCGATCCGACTCGATTCGGGTCGGGTCGGGTCGGTTTAGGGTAGGAGCCGGGTCGGGTCGAGTCGGTTTTGGGTCAAACCCGACCCGACCCGACCCATTGCCCTTCCCTAATTGCCACCTCTACCTCTGATGCCAACATTGACCATGTGATTTAGTGGTGGTGTCCAAGAAAATTTATATTAGTTTATTTTTATCTCTTAAATATCTGTCTTACTTTTCCCATAAATTTTAAGACTTCATTTTGAATTCTGAAATATCTGTTGCGCTTGCGATTGCAACCCCTATATTTTCTGAGAAGTACACTGGGGTCCTAGGTTTCCTCTTTTTTTCAACCTGCATCCTTTCTTCTTTGAAATCTTGGTCCTTATCTTTAAGTCACTCTAATTTAATCATCAACATTCCATCCAAAATCGATCTGATGTCAAGTTCCAAGAGCTTGCAATTAAGTTCCTAAACTTTCCAAAATTCGAATTTAGCTCCCGAAACTTGTTAATCACAAAGCCAACTAGGGTATGCAGAAATATTGATTAATCGTAACCCGATTGATCATCAATCACTCCGAATCAACTCCAATGTCACCCTTTTCATGTCAATTGCATCCAAGTGCCTCCAAGATGAAATTTTACCTGTAAATAATATATTTCCACCTAAATTAGGTAAATATCCGCTCAATTAATCATAAATAAGTAAAAAAGCTCTAAATAAGTTTATAATATGCACTTATCAATTGCACTGATGCAAGTCGTTCAAGTCTCAATAGAATCATTGCACGACTAACTTTATGTAGCTAGATTTTGCTTCTCAACTTGAATTGTGTATGTTCCACTTAAACGTTCAAATCAAGGCATGTTTCAATGAAGGCCACCCAACAATTTGGCAAATATTTGGAGATTTTTTTTTTAATCTCAATGACGTGCAACAATAGGACAATAGGTTGGGGACCGAAGCTCAAATTTTCCTTAATTATTCATGACATTGAAGAGAAAATATTGTCTTGATAATGTTACAGAACTTTCAAATTTAGATACGTGTCATACATTCGTCCAAAATTTATCATTTGCAAAGGGAGAAAGTTTGGGATTGTTTTGAGGGTAGAAGAGGAAAAAGTAGCTGCCACTTAGCATTCACCCCCTCTCGACACCTTCTCAACGAAACAATTTTCATCCGTCCGACCAAAAAATTATCGAGAACAAGGTTTAGCTTGTAGTTATTTAATCATGTGGTTTTCCGTCCCTGCTTGCTTTTTTGCGCCCTCGAGAGCTAAAATAAGATCCTGCAAACAACTTTCTGCATCAACAGGTACAGTCTTTGGCATCAAACTTTCTGCAACATCTGCTGGAGTAATCTTGATTTCCTCGAGGAAACTACAAATTCTCGAAAACAAATAGTGCGACTCCAAATTAAGATAGTTCCTTGCCAAAACCTTAAAAGCTTCAAAACTGCAATATGACAACTCAATGTGCTTATCCATTCGTCCTCTCCGAATAAGGGCAGGATCCAGTTTCTCCACATAGTTGGTAGTAAATACAATCAGCCTTTCTCCCCCACAAGCTGACCATAGCCCATCTATGGAATTCAGAAGTCCAGAAAGTGTAACCTTACTAATTCTTGATTCTGATTCTTCCTTTATGAATTTCTTCACAGGAACATTTTCTTCTATATCCTTCTTCTCCCTTTTCTTCGCCCTTTGTCCAGTCAGGTCGTCTGAACAATCAATATCCTCAATCACAATAATCGACTTGCTAGATGTCGCGATCAATAATTTCTTCAATTCTGTATTGTCTTTCACTGCTGTTAATTCAAGATCATAAATGTCATACCCTAGTAGATTAGCCATGGCAGCAACTGTAGTGGATTTACCAGTCCCTGGCGGGCCGTAAAGAAGATAACCGCGTTTCCAGGCCCTACCAATAGTTGAATAAAATTCTCCAGCCTTGCTAAATGTAATCAAATCATTAACAAGCTCCCCCTTTTTTTCAGGCTCCATCGCTAATGTCTGGAAATTTGCTGGATGCTCAAATGGTACAAAACTCCAGGAGGACCCACTGTTTGTGTACAGTTTTCGCTGCCGGTTTTTCACCTTTATCGCCTTCCCTTCCTTCAATACATGATTCAAGTACGAACCAGTGATTAAATTTCTATGCTTTTTATGGAATTTTAGCTTGAAATATCTCTTTTCATCAGCAGGAACTGGCTGGAAAGAAAAAGTCTGTGTCTTGGAAAGGTTCTTTCCAGAAGCCCACCAGACTTTTACTCCCTGAAATTCGTCAGCCACTTCTTCATTATCATCCATGGTAAGAACCAGAGATTGGCTGTTCTTGATTACGTCCGCCTTGAGCCGCCCACGGACTCGCCTCCTTGACCTCGAGAGGTAGGTCTCGATGGCGGCGTAAGCTTCACTTCGCATGAATCGTTCGCTGGTGAATTCATTGAAGGTTATTTGGATGTAAGGATAAAGAAAACTGAAATTTTTCTGGAAATATGTTTCAACAGAAATCCAAAGATGAGTTGGGAAATATTGTTGAAAAATTGCTCGAACAAACATGAAAGTAGCTATTAAGGATCCTAGTTGAGCGAACATTTCTCCTATGCTCATTTTTTCTGTAAAATTTTGTCTCACAAAATCTATCTTATATAAGCTTCGTTTCTTAAAGACAACTCAATATTGTCGGTTTATGTGTGATCATACCGTGTGTCTTTTGTAACCACTTGTTTAATATCTAATGTGAATACTTTCGGATTAAGGAATCCTATATTTCTTTAAAGAATACAAAATGCAACAAATTAGACACAGAACTCAATTTCAGAAGTCAATATTATTGAATTAGGCAATCTATTTTAGTAATTATCTCAAGTAAACAATAGATGCACTTATTTTCCGATTTGAATTAGAAATTAAAACTCAAAACAATTTGGAATAAGAATAGGGATGACAACGATTCGGTTCGGGGTCGGTTATGCCAAAATCATAACCGCATCATCAAATTTTTGGTCATACTATAACCGCACCATAACCACATAAGTCGGATCGGTTCAGTTCGGTTAATAACCACGAAAATAAATTATTTTTTATAAGTTCAAACTCCAAATGTCAAAGTGAAAAAAAAAATTATGAAGAAAAGTCAAAAAAACAAAAAAAATACTAAACCAATTTAGCAAACAATATCCCAACTTCCAAATGTAAAATTCGTATTTAACAAACAATATTATCAACATAGGTCAAGACTCTTACTAGCATATGTCAATATTCATTCTTCCCCACAACTCTTACTAGCATGGTCAAGAGTCAAAGCTCAAAGGTGATTCCTATATAGTAAATAAGAAATGTAATTAGAGTAATAATATAACCATACTACCTNGTGCCTGAGCGGAGGAACTGGAGCTCAGGTAGGTCTCGATGGCGGCGTAAGCTTCACTTCGCATGAATCGTTCGCCGGTGAATTCATTGAAGGTTATTTGGATGTAAGGATAAAGAAAACTGAGATTTTTCTGGAAATATGTTTCAACAGAAATCCGAAGATGAGTTGGGAAATATTGTTGAAAAATTGCTCGAACAAACACGAAAGTAGCTATTAAGGATCCTAGTTGAGCGAACATTTCTCCTATCCTCATTTTTTCTGTAAAATTTTGTCTCACAAAATCTATCTTATATAAGCTTCGTTTCTTAAAGTCAACTCAATATTGTCGGTTTATGTGTGATCATACCATGTGTCTTTTGTAACCACTTGTTTAAATATCTAATGTGATTACTTTCGGATTAAGGCATCCTACGTCTCTTTGAAGAGTACAAAATGCAACAAATTAGACACGGAACTCAATTTCAGAAGTCAACTTTATTGAATTGGGCAATCTATTTCAGTAATTATCTGAAGTAAATAATAGATGCACTTATTTTCCAATTTGAATTAGAAATTAAACTCAAAACAATTTGGAATAAGAATTTGATCAACGAATTTTTTTTGGAGATGTTTTATTAATTAGTGAAATGGGTTAACTTTGAGCCCCAATTTTAATGGAACCAAGCATAATCACGTTCTACTCCGCGAGGTGATTAACATGATATATTTATTTATCGAAAATCATTTAGAATTGAATGAAATATTTGATGTCAAAGTTACCCACTTGAAGAATTTGATTTATTGAAAATTGTCAAACACTTATCCCACGTAAAAGAGTTAGAAACTTTGGTACGGTTTATATAGTGGAAGTTTGAGAATTAGGTTTAGGCCTTAGGGAGTACCATAGTCTTTGGAAGGGCGAATACCTAAATTTTATTGGGTTTGGTCCTAAGTCCATATGTGCGTGTGCGCCGCTGCCATTCGGCTGACATGACAGGTGCCCGTGTCCTGATTCGGTTTGCGTTCGAGTACGAATGGGTCTTTGTACCATATAAACTTTTTGGACAACATTTATCTAAATTTTTTAAAGCTAAATTGTAATTAATCAAATTCTTGGATACTTAATGAAATTAATTTTGGTTAGCTTATTTCTGGGTAATTTTTTGGTTTGAATTGTCTGTTAACCGACATAACAATCATCTATTAACCGAATTAACACAAATTCGTTAACCGACGTAACATGCACGGTATTTCATTCTGAATAGTGTTGTTTGTTCAAGTTTGGAGATTGTCGGAACGATGACGACTATTCTGAAAAGATGTCCAAAAGGCTACGAACAAGTCTATAAATAGTATGCTTTGCTGTCAGAATAATTACACCATATTCATTGCAAACTTTATTTGATTTGAATATCTTTCTCTCGTTCTAATATTGTTCTCGAAGCGAAAACAATTCAATGAGTTTGTCGAAACTCCTACGGATTGTTGTACTGCTTTCGTAGGAAGGGAAATTCATTTTATACTGGAAAATATGAATCATGTGCAGTAGTGAAAGCAAACACTTTGAGCTTAGAGGCACAATCAAACTTGAAAAAAAGTTGTGAAAAAATTAAAGTATTCGATGTCTTATTACAATGATTCTCTACACATGTTCATACTTTGGTAGCATTCCATAGTTATATCATTTTCATTATTATCAAATATATTTTTCTCAATATATACAATCAAATTATCATTCAACTACTGATACAAGCTTGTTAAAGAATTAGAAGTCATGAAGAAAAGAAGCGAAGAGGTATGTGACAACAAATATGAGGTATGTGACAACAAATATGAGCTTGTGACTTGTTGTGAATTGTGTTTGTTGATCTTTAGACACATGTTCCCAAAGTAAAGCTTATAGATTAAGGAAAAGGACACGATATTTTTGTTATCAACAACTTAATAATGTAAAATATTTTACTAATTGGATTTTCATTGGTGGACTCTCCGAATACAACAATAAACTAACTCTCGTATTGTGAATACTCTAAGTGTTCGAAACTCTTTTATCATTATATTCAACCAAATATTCTACATTTATTAAAAAGTGATACAAACAAAATTTCCATCCATAACAGGTCATGTTTAGTCTACATTCACTACGAACTTCGCACGTCTTATCTATCTGATGAATAATATGCGTGATATTTTTCTAGTAATACTATTTTTCAAAGTAATTGAGCTATTTGATATTATTAAAGGAAAAATTAAGATGGTTAACAAGAATACAGTATATGTAAATAATTTTTTTTTTTTATGAAATTATGTATATAATATCAAAAGATTGAATAAACTGAAATGTAATGTTTTGATTACAGTAACATTTTTTTTTATACACAGTAATTTTTGTCAATGTCCCACAACTTTATTCATTTTATTTTTTACTTTTATCAAGACTTTTGTTGTTTACATTGGAATTTTGCAAGAAAGCGTGACATATAACTTCATGAGAGAATACATGTTCAGAAAATGTATATACAAACATTAGGCATTGTTTGTCATTGAACTCTGTTAATGGTTATTGCAAAGAATAAATTTATTGAAAATTGATTCATCTTGAATTTGAACGAATATCCTTATCATATGTTGAAGTTACTAGATACGCTGAAGAAAAACTTGTTTTTCAATATGTTGTCCAACGGTTATTTTTGTATAAATAATATGTCTCTTGAAATCACGAAAAATTATTTTTGTTCTATTACAAAGATCGTTGGATGGATCCAGATTCCATAATAGCATCAGTGAATAATTTCGTTTCAAGATTAACTTATGTGGTGGGATAATATTCAACATTTCTTTTGTTAGGACTGAGTATGAAATCAATGGGACATGACTTAATTAATATATAGATATCTTCCTCTTCCCTCTTCCTCTTCCACACTTCTTAATGTTAAGTATCATATATATAATTTTTTGAAAGGCAAAAAAAAAAAAA